GCTCCTGTTCTCGTCCTCTCCTCCTCGCTTTTTCCTCCTTCCTTCCCTCTCCATCGTCGACGTCCTGATTCGCATCCTTCTGCCTCTCTCCCCCGTCGTCATCCTGCTTCTACTCGAGGTCCTCCTCCGCCTCCTCCACGCTCCGGTGCCCGCCTGCCCTGTGCCGCTTCTCCGCACGCTCCTGCGCACCCTGCCCACCTCACCCTACTGGCTCCTCATGAACTCCGCGCGCCTCCAGCTTCCCCACCTCCCCCTCCTCCCCCTCCTCCTCCTCCTCCTCCTCCTCCTCCTCCTCCTCCTCCTCCTCCTCCTCCTCCCACTCCTCCTCCTCCTCCTCCTCCTCCTCCTCTCCTCCTCCTCCTCCTCCTCCTCCCTCTCTCCCTCCTCCTCCTCCATCCTCCTCCTCCTCCTCATCCTCCTCCTCCTCCTCCCCCCCCCTCCTCCTCACATTCCTTGCTTCCGCTCTCCCCTTCCTCCAGTGGCGGCTGCTGCTGCTCCTGATCCTCCCCGTTGCCCTGCCCTCCCTCCCTCCCTCCTTCCCGGGCCTGCTCCTGTCCTCCCTCCCGCCTCCTCGTCGGCGCCCGCCCGCGGGGGGGGTCCAAAGAGGCCCCGAAGGCCCGACAGAAGCACACGGCAGCGGCACACGGCAACGGCAACAATGTGCTCGTGGCCTCCTCGATGCCCTTCGTCGCCTCCCTTCCCGCACTCCGTTCCTTTTGTGCTTAGTTTTGCTTGTCTCTCTCTTTCTCTCTCCTTTGTTATATAGATATATAAAATATGTTGATATGAGTGTGCGCCTATGTGTAAAGAGAGATATGTATGTATACATTGATGTATGTACATGTATGTGTGTGTGTGTCTCTTCTCCTCTCTCCCTCCACTTCCTGCTTTAGTGGATGTAACAACTACACGCGGCAGGTAAGGGCGACATATACCCCGAGGTCCAAGGGGGTACGATCGAAGACGAAGAGGTCTGGTACCAAGGGTTTGGAATGCATCTTGATTGGCATGCGAGCAGATGAACGCGAACCGCATTGAAATGCGTATTTCTAAAGCATAGTTATCTTCGAGCCCCTCCTGTGCCCATTCCGCTTTCTCAAGTGTAGCGCCCTCCCAAGACTCGCATCCTGTTAAAGAACCGTCTTGCGCGTCAGACTGTGATGTTGCCCCCGAGCTTACAACAGCAGCGATCATCACCACCACCATCATCACCATCATCACTATCTCACGAACATTTGATCTATGAAGCTAGTTTGACTTTCACGCGTTTGTCCCTCTCGCTCGGACCCGCCCTGCCCTTTAGATCTCTGAACGCACACCCTGTTGCGGGGGGACTCATCCCAAGTCTAGGGTAAACCCCGACAGGGGGGAAACAGGCGCGTCGCGCGGGTGCACCCTCACGGGCGGACCCTGACAAGGGAACCCTAGTGGGCGGGCGGACCATGACGGAAGATTCCTCAGTGAATTGCGAGAGAGTCGAAGGCGGGAGTCGTTGGTCTTGTAGCTGGGCCGCCAAGGGTTCTTAACACATTGTGGGGAACGCCCTGACGAGAGCACGATTCCTGGGTACATTGCGTAGATGTCCCCAGAGGGTGCGGGGGCCTTCGATAAATAGCAAGGCAGTCTCCAGCGGGAGGCGTTGTTGTTGTTGTTGTCGTCGTCGTCGTCGCCGTTGTTGTTGTTGAAGAAGATGCAGTTGCTGTTGTAGTTGTTGCTGTTGTTGTTGTTGTTGCTGTTGTTGTTGTTGTTGTTGTTGAATTCTCATTGCTGAAACATAAGTATTGTTGATCCCCCCTCTGGGGCACACTGTATGTGTTCAATTGAAGTGCCCTTTCCGGGGCTCGCACCCGGCTTTCTATCATGGAAATCTTGGGTCTCAGAATTGGGTCCGTGACCCCCGAGTTACAACAACAACAACAACAACAACAACAACGACACCAACATATTCCGCTTGATATTCCATCACAATGTACTCCCAGTCGCGCTTTTGCGCGGGACGTCCTCGCAATGTATGCAGGAATCGCGCTCTCCCGTGGGACCTCCTTGCAATTGATTCAGACGCCGCGCCCTCGAAACTCAGGAATCACGCTCTCGCATTTTGGCCTATCTCACGATTCACTTGGGAATCGTGCTATCGCTCGAGACTCGCGATTCATGCAGGACGCAAGCTTCAGCAACCCGCCTGCTCGACCTGGCCGCCTGGCCCACCTTCCCGACCCTCCTGTTAGGGTCTACCCGCCTGATCTGCCCGTCTGGTTCTGCCACTTGGTTTCTGCTCCTAGCCCCCTCATGCTACTCTCTTTCGTGCTCCATCCTCCTCCATTCCCCTTGTACCTTTCTTCCATGCGTCCTCTCTTCCCTTGCCGTACGGGCTGCTTGAACTACACGTTGCATGTAAGAAAGATGTACCCCCAAGGGGGCGCCATCGATGGCGAAGAGGGCGGGTATCGAGGGTCTGGGATATACGTGTTGAATGGCACGCGCGCAGATAAGAGCGATCAGTCTTAAAATGATTGTTGTTGTTATTGGTGCTGTTGGTGTTGTCTGTGTTGTTGTTGTTGTTGTTGTTGTTGTTGTTGTTGTTGTTGGTGTTGTTGTGGTTGTTGATGCTGTTGTTGTTGACTGTGCTGTTGTTGATGTTGTGGTTCTTGCTGTCGTTGGTGTTGTTGTTGTTGTTGTTGTTGTTGGTGTTGGTGTTGGTGTTGGTGTTGTTGTTGTTGTTGTTGTTGTTGTTGTTGTTGTTGTCGTTCGTGTTGTTGGTGGTGGTGTTGTTCTTGGTGGTATTGATGCTGCTGCTGATGTAGTCTGGGGACCAACGGATTACACATGGAACGAGCCCCGTGCTCGAGCGCGAGCCTCGGTCTCAAGGTGCACGTGTCCCACGCTCGAGCGGAAGCGCTCCGTCAATCTCCCGCCGATCAGCAACAAGTATTATCCAGACGTGAGTATTCAACCAGAGCGGCTCCCGCCTGATATTTCTTCCGAGTGTATTTGAACTAGCAAGCTGACTTTCGCCAGAGACACCCTCACAATTGGCCCAGGAATCGCGCTCTCGCTCGAGATGTCCTTGTGAAGTATGCACGAGTCGCTCCCTCGGCGCCCTCAGCCGGGACTTTCTCACACCTCACTCGGGAACCGCGCTCTCGCCCGAGATGTCCTTGCCATCCCCTCTTGCGAATTCCTCGTGCTACTCCCTCGCGTCCTCCATCTTCCCCTTCTCACTCCCTCCGCTCCCTTCCTCCTCGCTCTCTCCCATTCCCATTAAAACTTATGTTAACCCTGTTCTACGGACTGCGCCGATTTCTCGTGGCAGGGAAGGAATCGATACTCCCCTAAAGGGGGCTACGACAAAAGGACGAAGAGGGCGGGCATCGAGGGTTTGGGAGATACATGTTGAATGGCACGCGGGCAGCGACGGAGCCACAAAATGCGACAGTGGAACCACGAAGGGCAGCGAGGGGCATCGAAGGCGGGGCGTTGGGCGACTGTGGCCACCATTGGGCGGGTCGGGCGGACGGACCCAGACGGGCGGGTCGCTGAAGCGCAAGTCGTTGAAAGGCGAGGAAGTCTCGAGAGAGACCGTGAATCCCAAGTAAATCGTGAGGAAGCCCACAGCGACAGCGGGGTTCCTGAGTGTCGAGGGCTTTGCATCCGAGTGAATCACTGGGAAGGCACGCGCGAGATTGCGATTGCTAGGTAAATCGCCAGGCGGTCCCGAGCGAGAGCGCGATTCTTCAATCAGCTGTGTGGAAGTACCAGGCAGGAGCCGTCGTTCTTGTTGTTTTGGGCCAGCACTCCAGTGTGAGGATCAAGCCGCTCCTTCGTAGAAGAACTGGGTGCGAGCCCTGAGGGTGGCACTTCTTCCCCTCGCCCTCCCTATTGGTTTAGCTGTGGCGAGACCCTCCGCCGGGTCAGCTCAGCGCTCTGGGTGGCGACTGCTTGAGGAGCGCACAGGTGGCCGTCACGCGTCAAACCTCGTGCCCCGAGGCATGGAGGAGCCGTAACCTTTGTCACGGCCCTCGGCGTCGTGTCGGGGTACCTCTCCTCGTATTCGTAGCCAGCTTCCTCTCCTCCCCTCCTTCCCCCCTCCCCTCTTGGGGCCCCTTGGAGGCCTCTTGGGGCCTCTTGGGGGCTTCTTGCGACCTCCAGGGCGCTCTTGGGAAGTCTGGCGCCTTCGGAGTCCGTTTTGAAGGCCTCTCTGGGCCGTGTCTGGGCCCTCTCGGGGCCCTCAAGGGTCGTCTTGGGGTCTCATGGGGCGTGTTGCGCCCACCTTGGGTCGTCTTGGAGCCCTCTCGGGCCTTCGTCGGCCCTCTTCAGGGCCTCTTGCGCTGTCTTGGGGCCAGGCTGGAGGCCTCTTGAGCCGTCTTGGGCCCACGGAAGCCCGAGAAGGTGAGGAAGCGAACCTTTGCCAAATACCCTCGGGAGTGCAGTGACTTTGGCCTCGGGCCCTGCCAGTGGTCTTCTTGGAGCCCTCCTGGGCCGTCCTGAGGGCCTCTTGAGGTGCATGCCTGGAGCCCATCTTGTCTTGGAGCCCTCCTGGGCCGTCTTGAGGGCCTTGCGAGGTGCCTTGAGCCCCGCCTGGGCAGCCTTGGGGTCACCTCGGGCCGTGTTTGCGACAGATCCTGGACGCCGTGCAGAGCGCCAGAGAGCCGTCGAGGTGCCCCCAGGAATCCCATCGGAGCGGGGGGGGGGAGGAGGGGCGGTGCACGCAGGGAAGCGCTGCCCTCGGGGGCACGGCGTGTCGGATCTACTCCTGCGCCTCGGAAGGGGGGCGCACGCGTGAGAGTCATGCCCTCGCCGTGGTTCTTTCAAGAGTGGTCGAGGGCATGTTGCCAGTCGCCGCGCTCCTCTGCCCCCTCCTCTCGCATCTCGGGGCCTTGCTGCTCCTCCGCCCCCTCCTCCTGCTCCTCGGGGCCTCTCTTTCAAGAGGGGTCGAGGGCATGTTGCTGGCATAACCAGTCGCCTCGCCCCTCTGCCCCCTCCCCTCGCCCCGCGCGGAGGAGACGCTGCGGATGGTCCGCCAGGCGCTCCAGGCGGAGAGCGACCGGCCGAGCTGGATGCCGCGGGAGCTGGGCTCGCTGTTCGGGATGGGCTCGTGAGAGGGTTGCCGCAGAAAGTGCTCGGGGGGGGGGGCGGAGCGGGTAGGAGAAGCAATGATGAGGAGGAGGACGAGGAGGGATGAGGAGGCGGGAGGAGGGAGCTGGCGGAGGCCGGAGGAGCTTGTCTGTCACACCTGCTTTTGCCTCTGGGGGGGGGGTCTGTGTCGTGTCGCGTGGCCGTCGGGCACCAAGCTGTGATGGGGGCAGTGGCCACGGAGGACCTCGGGAGATCTCTGGTGGCCGATTGTTGCACGGGTTCTGAAAGGGGGGGCAATGAGGGCGCAGAGGAGGAGGAGTGGGGAGGGCGCCAGGGAACGTGCTCGGGAGCGGCGTGGGGGGAGGGGGGGGGGGGGGCATGAGGGCGCAGAGGAGGAGGAGCGTTGAGGGCGCCAGGGAATGTGCTCGGGAGCGGCGAGAGGGGGCGGGGGGGGCCCCCTCCCTCGCAGGCTCGGCTTCTTCCCCTGCTTTCGCGTGACTCTGGCTCCCTGTTCTCCTGCTCGCGTTCCTGCTACGACTCCTCACGCATCCCTCTTCCATGGAAGTAGCCTCCCCCTGCCGGCCACCCGACGTGTCTGTAGACTGGGGTGGGCGTTTCGCTTGAGATCTCCCTGCAACCGAGTTGCCATCCTGAGGCACGCTTGTTGTTTAAAGCTTGTACCATACTTCCCAGAATGGGGGGGCCGGTGGTTTCCAACGTGCGGCTCTGGTTTCAGCGCAGCGCGCATCTGCTGCTCAGCCGCTTCGGTTTCAAGATGTGGTTATCGCTTGCGTCGCACATTTGATGACTAACACTCTGAGCATGTGCACCACTGACACCTGGGAACGCCTGGGGCCAGGGCCACCCGGATCTTGCAACACCCCGAGGGAGCGTCTTGGCAAGCACCTGCGGGCGCCCCAAGGAAGCGTCCTGGCAGGGACCTTGCAAGGTCCCTGCCAGGACGCTTCCCTGCAAGGACCTTGCAAGGTCCCAAGGAAGCGTCATGGCGGGTGCTCCAAGGAAGCGTCCTGGCAGATCACCTCCATGCTGCTCGCGCAGCAGCCGTTCTGGCGCTGAGACGCCCTCCGCCCCGCGGGCCGCTTCCGGAGCCGCCCTTCGCGCTGCGGGCGGGCCGCCCGCGCTCCCCCGCCGCGATGTCCGTCGAGCCCCGGGCGTCCCCTTCCGCCCAGGCTCGGGGAGGGGTAACTATCGTGTCAGTGGCACGGCCGCTGTCTTTCCAGCTGAGCGTCTCATTTGAGGCACCTCTTCCAAAGTGCAAAACACGCTGATAGGGGTTGTCCGGGCAGCGTGGCGTTGGCTTTCTCTCTGCCCACCGCCCTATAGGCGTCCTGGGAGGGCATGCCGGCGGAGCTGCGGGCGGCCCTCTGCGACCCGCGGCTGGAGCCGCCCTGGACCTGGGAGGCCCTCGGCCTCGCGCTCGGGCGCCTCGCGGCGCAGAGGGCGGGTGGCCGCCCGGGGCCGCCCGCGTCGCGGCTCCCTGAGCAGCTGGCGGAGTGGTGCGCCGACCCAGCGGGGCGGGCCGCCGCCGAGCTCGCCGCCGCGGCCGCCGCGGGCCTGCTCGCGGGCGCCGGCGGCGCGGCCGCGCCGGCCGTGGACGACCGGCTGGCCTGGGCCGCGCTGCTGGAGGCGCTCGCGGTGGGCGCCCCGGCCGCGCTGCGCCCGCACGCGGGGCAGCTGTGCGAGCTGCTCCAGTGCGTGGCGGGCGCCCGCGAGCGGTGGGCCTCGCACCTGTGCCGTGCTCTCGCTTGCGCCCTGCCGGGCACCGACGGCGGGGCCCTCGCCGCCGCCGGGCTGCGGGCCGCCCTGGAGTCGGTGCTGCAGGAGCTGCCCACGCTGGGGGCCCTTGTGGACCTAGAGGTGCTCTGGCGCACGCACAGCGTGGCGGACTGCTGGTGCGTGGTGTCGCTGTGCACGGCCGGCGGCGCGGCAGTGCAGGCCCGCGCCGCCGAGCTTGCGCGGGCGGTGGCCTGCGCGGCGGAGCGGGTCGCCGGGGCCTCCGTGCTGGAGATGGCTGCGCTGTGCCATCACGCCTGGGCGCTCTCGGCCATCCTCGGCCGCCTGAGCCCGTCGGTTCCAGCATCAACCGCGTGCGACGAGGCAGCGGGCAGCGTCGTCGGCTCCGCCGCCGACAGCCTCGCGGCGCTGTGTCGGGGCGGGCCAGAGGTCCTCAGGCCAGCGTTGCTGCCGTGCGTGGCCATGTTGCTGCGCGGCGCGGGTCGCGGGCTCGCCGACGAGGCGGTCGCGAAGCTCTGCAACACGCTCGCCGCGGGCATGAGCGACGAGGGCCGGCTGGTGCGGGCGCGGGCGGTGGGCGCGTTGGCGTGGCTCCTGCGCTTCACGGGCTCGGGGCCTGAGGAGGCCCCGCGGCTGGACCTGCCGCCGCCCATGCTGGAGCGCCTGTCGCCCTTCCAAGCCTTCGCGCTGCGCTCGATGCTGGCGGCGCGCTCGCCCTCAGCCGCGTCGGAGGCCTGGGCCGTATTCCGCGCGCTGCGCCAGGTCGGCGGTAGCTGCGTGTCCGCTGTGCCCGAGCTGCTCGCCGCCTGCCTCGCCGGTGCCCCCCTTGCCGCAGCCTCTTGCCGCTCGCGCCTCGCGCGCGAGCTGCTGGCGGCGCCGGCGTGGCCCGTGGCCGAGGTGGAGCGCGGCGCGCGGCTGGCCTTGGAGACGCGGGGGCTGCGCGGCGAGGACGGCCCGGAGGCCTCGGATCCGCTCGACGAGCGGGCCCTGCGGCGCGTCCCCGAGCTCGCCGGCGCCGTGTCGACGGAGGCCCGCGGGCTGCCGCTCGAGAGGGTGTCCCAGGCGGTCTGCGGCCTGCTGGGCACCCTGCAGAGGCTCGCGGCGGGGCCCGCCGGCGGCGCCTGCGCCGCCGAGGCCGATGCCTCGGCGGTGCTGGTGCCCCTGTGCCTGGGGCTGCTGCCCGGCCTGCTCGCCCTCGGCGGCGGGAGCGCGCGGCGGGAGGCGGCGGAGGTCGCCTCCGCCGCGCTCTCCGCGGCCCCGGCCCCGCGCGGCCTCGAGGAGGCGCCGCAGCCGGGGGCGCGCGCGGCCCTCGCGGCGCTGGCCCTGCTGCGGCGGCACTGCGGGAGCCGGGCCGCGGGCGGCGAGGGGCCCCCCGAGGGCGGGGCCGCCGCGGCGCTGCTGCCGCAGCTGGAGGAGCTGCTGGAGGGCGCGGCGGCGGTGGGCGAGGCCGCGGCGGGCGGCGGTGGGCCCGCCGGGGGCGAGGCCGCGGCTGGGGCGGGGGTGCCCCCCAGACATCATCCAACCCCAGACCCCCTGGGGCAATGGCAAAATTGTGACGGGCGGTTTTTGGCTATTTTCGGCCTCAGGGGGCCCGTACCGGCCCTCGGGACCGTCAACAAAACGACTCAGGATGAAAAACCGGTCCAGGGGAATGGGTCGAGACCTCCAGGGGTCGTCGACGCAATGAAAAGATCATGACGTCGGGGGTCTGGGACGGCCTCATCTCGCTCGTGACACAATCGGGACTGGAGGTGTTTCTCTTCATGTCTGGCCTCCTCGCCGGGCCCCGGTGGCGGTCCAGAAACGACTCGGGGTGCGAAGGCGGTCCCAGGGAAGGGGCCCAGACTCGGGCCGAACGAAAGGGGGGGATTGGGAAAGGGGGGGGTACGAAATCTGCTGCATGCGGGTGGTTTCAGCCCCGCCGAGGGGCCCATCCCTCGATACATGGCCGCCTCCGGCGCCGGGAGGCGCCAGGAAAACCAGCTACGTGGGCTGATTCTCACCCCCCCCTTAGCTATCCCCCCCTGTCGCCCGGGCCGACCGACATCTGGGGGCCCGCGCACTCGCGAACACATCCGGACGTCGGAGAGACACGGGGAGATCCGAAGGTGCTGCTGGACGGCGCCGTGGCGGAGCCTGGCGCGGCCGCTCCGGCGGGCGCCGGCGCTGCTTGCGAGGCTGGGGCGCCGCCCGCGGCGGCGGCAGAGCCGGCGGAGGACGCGGGTGCGGCGCGGCCCGCGGCCGCTCCTCCTCCTCCTCCTCCTCTCTCCTCCTCCTCCTCATCTCCTCCTCCTTCCTCCTCCTCCTCCTCCTCCTCCTCCTCCTCCTCCTCCTCCTCCTCCTCCTCCTCCGGCGGGGGATCTTCTCGATCCTGTGGCTAAGTCGGGCCTGTCCCCCTACAGGGGGATTTTCGACGAAAAATACAAAATACCCCAGAAATAATCAAAGAATAGTCTAAAAATAGTCGGGGGATAATTTTTTGAGTAGTTTGGGACCTTTTTTTTGATTATTTTAGGGGTATTTTTTTGCACTGTTCGTCGAAATCCCCCTGTAGGAGGACACGCCCGACATAATCCTATGGCTCGCTTTTGCTCCGTGCCGGTGTCTCGGGAGGCTGCGCCGAGCCATTGGGGCCATGCGGAGTACGGAGAGCGTCCGGGGCAGAAAGAAGCTGCCTCTGGACGTGGCGAGAGTTCCCCCCCCTGCTACAGGATAAGAGGTCCCCAGGGCTGTGACCATGGCGATCGTATCTCTGCCCCGCCCCGTGGTGTTTTTGACACCCCTGGGGCACTGAACAGCTTCGTTTCTTGTATGATCTACGTCGGTGGACTATGCTGGGAGCTCTGCTGGGTGATCCTCAGGACGTGTGCTGGCCCAGTGCGTGCTGTATCTCGTTCAGGCCCGCCCATCGCGGGTAGCCTGCGTCGGCCCTCGTTGCAGCGATCGTGTCGTAAGCGTTGAAGGGGTTTGGTGGACAAGTACATGTGGGCTTTTTTTCAGCCACGCGCTGAGGGGGGTGGGGGGAGGGGGGAGGGCTTCTTAGAAGCATCCCTGCTTCTTAGAAGGCGCGGGCCTTATCTATAGATGTAAGGCCGGCGCCTTCTAAGAAGCAGCCTCCTTCTAAGACGCCCTCCCCCCTCCCTCTACCCCCGTGTGCGCGCCGCCAATTGCTGTCGTGTCGAATCAGCGATGTGTGGCACACCTCGATCGGGCTGGAGCGGGCCGCGGTCTGGCAGAGCACGCACCGATGCAGTATGGAGAGCGGGAGCGGCCGCGGAGGAGGAGGAGGAGGAGGAGAAGTCTGGAGGAGGAGGAGGAGGAGGAGGAGGAGAAGTCTGGAGGAGGAGGCGGAGGAGGAGGAGGAGGAGGAGGAGGAGGAGGAGGAGGAGGTGGAGGAGGAGGAGGAGGAGGAGGCTCGAAGAGGAGGAGGAGGAGGAGGAGGAGGAGGAGGAGGAGGAAAAGTCTGGAGGAGGAGGAGGAGGAGGAGGAGGAGCAGGAGGAGGAGCAGGAGGGGGAGGAGTCTGGAGGAGACGCAGTCAGAGCACGATGACCTTCACGCGCGGTGCGAGCGGCCTCGTGTCCCCAGGGTGGAGTCGTCCAGGTCGCAGAGGAGATGCATCTGAGCTGACTGGGAAGCCAGGGCCAGGGTGCTCCGAAGCCAATCGAAGACCGTGCTGGCCCTCGCACGAGTGCAAGGGTCGGGAAGTCACAGGGGCACGTGCAAAAACGATGGGCTAGGAGTTGTCGCCATCACTCGTTCTGTCGCCAACGCGGCCCACGGGCTGAGGAGATCGGTCCGCTGATGGTCTGTGAGGACGCGGGCGGCCCCTCGGGCTGCGAGACCGCCGCGGCGGCGCCCGAGCTGGCGGCGGCGGGGGCGCCAGAGCTGGCGGCGGCATGGGGGGGGCTCGTGCCAAGTCTTCGTCTCGCCTTGGAACATTCGCGACTGGAGGGGGGTGGTAGTTTTCGGATTTCGGGGGCCCTCACCGGGCCCAGGGACAAGTCAACAAAACGACTCCGGATGCAACATCGGCTCTGGGGAAGGGGTCTAGACCCCTCTGGCTTCACGATGCGAGAAAAAACATGATGTCGAAGATCTGGGTTGCTTCCATCTCAGCGGACGAAGAACGGTGTGTAATTGAACTTGTCCGCCACCAGTGACGCTTGTCCTGGGGCGATGGCAGGCGTCCCCCATTGTGAAAACGTTGGTCTATACATTCATTCTTCCGCGAATGCTTGTCATTACAATGGGGGGTCGTTTTTGCATGTGATTTGTGCTCGTGGGTTTTCCCTTAGCTAGGAGATTATGGTCAAGCGCTTTCCTTGACAGATACGTGGGTCGACTACTGATGGGACCTAGACCTCTCCAACATCCTGGAACAAAGCAAGGAGGAGGAGGAGGAGGAGAAGGAGGGGGAGGAGGAGGCGGAGGAGGAGGAGGAGATGGAGGAGCAGGAGGAGGAGGAGGAGGAGGAGGAGGAGGCGGAGGAGGAGGAGGAGGAGGAGGAGGAGGAGGAGGAGGAGGAGGAAGAGGAGTAGGAGGACTGTGAGAAATTTGAGGAGGAGGGATGAGGAGGTCAGCGTTTCTTCGCGGAGCCCATGGCTTGGGGGTCTGCAGCGCGTTTTCTCGGCCTCGTCCTCGTCCTGCTCCTCCAGGGGGGGAGGAGGAGGAGGATCTCGATCGAGGAGCCATGGGTCGTCTTGACTTTGCGCGATCGAGGGGGATCTCGCTCGAGGATCCCGATCGAGGAGGCTTTTGCGCGCCTTGCTGTTCTGGTCCTCGGGCGGCCTCTTGAGGCCTCCAGGGACCTCCTGTGACTTCTGTGGCCCACGGCAAGGCGGCGGAGGCGGCGGAGCCCGTGGCGGCGGAGGCGGCGGAGGCCGTGTCCGCGGACTGGGCCGCCTTCACCCCGGAGGTGTCGGTGTCTCGGGCAGACTCACCTTTCGCATGCGCTCGCAAGCATGGGTCAAGGGGGCGTGGACGATAGCGACGGGCCCCGCTCCCATGGGAACAGTCGCGGAGTCCCGCCGCCGAGCGAGGCGGCGCCGGCCGCACTGTGGGGAGGGCACCTCCCCCGATCCATGGCTTGGGCGGCCGCGCGCCAAGTAGTCCATAATTGGTCGCTGCAGTCAACCCGCACAGTGAGGATGGGTGACCTTCTCAAGGGTACGCTTGCATCCTTGCCTCCTCGGTCCATCCTTCGCCGCTTTCGCTGGCCGCGCCCCGCCCGAAACGCTTCGCACAGGGCGTCCGAGGCCCTTGCATCCTCACCGCGCATGCTTACTGTACCGGCTGACTGCCATCCATGTTTGCGCGCCCCCGACTCTCGGAGGGGGCTGGCTGCACACCGGCACCGGCCCTGGCCAGGCCCAGCCCCTGGCTCGAGGTCGGGCGGCCCCGGGCCCAGGACTGGCCAGGCCTCGGGTCGGTGCCGGGTGCACGGCCGCCGCCCTGCCAGTCTCGACCCCCCCGACGCTCGCTCCCACGGCAGAGTCGCCTCGAGAAGGATTCGCGGGCTCGCTCGCTCCCACATCTGCCAGTGCCCCCCGAGAAGACGTCCCGTGGCCGAGGGGGTCAGCGTCGCCCGGGGCCTCAGGGTGAGTCTGACGAAGGTCGTGTGCCGGGAGCTGTGCATGGCCCGCACCTGGGCTGGCGGCAAGGGGGGCCAGTGCCACAGGCCTCCGGGCCGCCCAAGTGGGGCTGGAGCAGGTGGGGCCGGACGATCGCGCCGCATCGACAGTGCATCGCCGACGTCACCGGATCCAGGAGCCCGGTTTCTAACATCAATCAGAGCGTGAATGACCTACCCCGCTTTCGCTTCCAGGCAAAACCAAGTCATACCACGCGCCTCCTCGTCAAGCGGCCTAAGGGCCGACCCAAGGAACCCGTGCCCCACATCCCACAGCTTTGTGTGTGTGTGTGTGCGTGTGCATATTTGTGTGTGTGTGCTTGTGCCGTTGTTTGGTCTTCCAGGTACTGTTCCGACGTCGTCGGTGCATCGGCGATGCGTCCCCAGATATGCGACGTCTGGATGTTTTCAGAACGGCGTCTCTGGAAGTCCCGACCCTTTCCCGGGACCGGTTCTTCGTCCCGAGTCGTTTTTTGACGACCCCGAGGCCCTGCGAGGGCCCCCTGGGCCGAAAATGGCCCGAAACCTCCCGTCCTGATTTTTTCACGACGCCATGTCTGGGTCGCAATCCTCTGGCCTTAAGTCTGGTCTGTACCTCTACAGGGGGAACGTTCAAAAGTAGTCAAATAACAGTACGGGGAGCATTGTTTGGGCATTATTCTGCATCTTTTGAGCATATTTGGCTCAAGCTCCGGCTCAAGCAACGACCGCTCAGACCACGCATCAAACGTGGCAGGCATTACGACGTCACGCCCTGGCCGCCGGCTCCTGCCCGCCGGCTCCTGCCGCGATGAGCGCTCAGCTGGCCCGGCCGCTGCGCCAGCGCCACGCCGACGCGGGGCGTCCCTGGCGCGCCGCAGGCGCTGCGCTGGACCCGGACGTCGCCCACATGGACGTGGCGTTGAAAGGGGTCGCACCCGATCCCTCGGCGTCCAGGATCTGGGGAGATGGCCGGACTTTCGGGGGGAGCGTGGAACCCGCGGCGGGGGATGCCGTAGGGACCGACGGGGTGCCCCCTTCTTCTGATGTCCCCTCCCCGCCGCATCGTCCGGTTCCTCCACCCTCCCCTGGCCACCCCCACGATCCCTCGAGGTCCTCCTCCGTTTCGTGCCGCCCCATCAGGGAGGAATGCCAGCCTACAGGACTCTCCCCGCAGTTGCAGATCAACGACGATGACAGCATTACCAACAACTGCGAAGAGCATGTCGCGTCCTTCGGCATGATTTTCACGATCATCGTGGAGCATGTCGCGATCATCATGGAGCATTTCGTGATCTTCGGCATTAATTTCGCGATCTTCGCGGAGTATTTCATGATCTCCTTGGAGTATTTCGCGTTCTTCAGCATGATTTTCACGGTCCCCGTGGAACTTATCAGGATCCTCGGGGAGCTTGCCACGATCGTCGGCATGATTTACATTCTCATCGTGGAGCATTTCCTGATCTTCCCGACTCCAGCTCCGACCCCGCCCCACGACGACCACGATGACGATCATAACAACGACCCGACAGACACCAACGATGACGCTCACGACGTCGACCATGAAGATCAGGACGGCGCCCACGACGACCACGATGACGGCAATGACGTCCAGGACGACGCCCACGACGAGGATCTCCACGATGGCGGCGTTCACAGCGACCACGACGACGAGATACTTGACGAGCTGGTCTACGACGCCGCCTCGGCCTTGCACATCTTGGTAAAGCTTCCTGACAGGAAGCCGTTCTCTTTGGACATCCAGGCCGACAGCACGATCGACTCCTTCAAGCTCTTGATCCAGGACAAGGAGGGCGTCCCCCCAGACCAGCAGCGCTTGATCTACGCAGGTAGGCAGATGGAGTCGGGCCGGAAGCTCAGCGAGTACAATGTCCAGAACGAGGCGATTATATTTATGGGGCTGAGACTCCAGGGAGGCATGCAGAACACCGACACCGCAATGGCCGAGGACACGGAGGGCACGAGCACAGGCCTCACGCAGGACGCCGCACGTCTTCAGCTTCAACATTCTACCGCCCGCGCGGTGCCGCCCCCAGGCCTCGCCCAGACAGCCGATAACACCGCAGAGGCGCAGCCGCCCCCCCCGAACGGGCGCGTCGAGCCGCTGGTGGCGGAGGGATGGACAGAGTGGTCACAGGAAACCGTCCTCGCGAACATCGAGTTCATTAATGCTCTGGTGAGGACACGTGCTGAAGGATCGGACAGAGCACTGCGCCTCCCTGCAGGAGATAAGGTTTTCGAGTCATGGCCCGACCTCCGGTCATACCTCGAAGCTGTCGGCTACGATTTCTCGGCATCTTCGTCGTGCTGGCGGCGCCTCGGAATGGAACCCAAGGCTGGGGCATGCCCCACTGTGGAGGACATCGAGGACAGGGTCCGTAGGGCGCAACTGGTTCTGTCGGTGACGAAGCTGCTTACCTCTTGGTCCGACCCATGCAAGGCAGGGGCGAAGAATGCCGAGGACTCCATAGCCAATGCTCGTACTGAGTGTCTTCGTCTCCTTCCTTCTGTACTCCGTGATCGCCGCCAGAGTGGAGGTTACACGCCACCAGCGTATTTGGAACCTCCCTTGGCATTGGAGCAGTGGGTTGGCACGGAGATCATCAAGATCGGCGGCACCTCGCGACAGTGGGCCTCTGCTTTGTGGCTGTCGGACGTATGCGCCTCTGGCTGCCCTGGCCGCGAAGGGCGTCTCGAAGTTGGGCCAGCCCGGAAACTGATGGAGGAGATGGCGAAGGGTAAGGAGAGGGCGCTGGCGGCGTGGACCGCTCTCGGAGCCGGCGGCATTGTGATGTGGGCACCGCGGGAGTCAGAACATCTTCGCCGCCTCCTGAGTGGCATCGAGCACGCCTTCCTGCAGGGCATGGACATCGAGTTCTTGGTGCTGTGCGAACGGGAGCCTCTACCTGATTTTGGAGAGGCCTGCATGCTCGAGGACCTCTGGCGCCACGCCCTTCTGAATGGCAAAAAGTCGCATCTAGTCACGGCGGCGGTCCATCTGCAAGAACCAGCGCTCATTACAACCACCGTGCACAACTCGGCGGCCACGGTCAACAAGGGCTTCTCGGCCTTTCATCTCACCAGGGCCGGAGGTGGGGTCCCCGCGCGACTGGCCTCGTGGCGCCCAGCACTCTACTCCGAGGACTCGTCCCACGTGATCTGGGTGGACGTGGAGGCGCAATCAGGACTGCAAGCGCGACGTGCTCTCGCCCCGATGGTGTCGCAGCACGGCGTCAGATGGGAGGGCCCCTTCCGCAGCCTCGGCTCTGTGCCGGACGGCCGCCGCATCCTCTTCAAGGTGTACGCTGCTCGGGATGCATTTTCGGACCTGGGCGTGCACTTCCTCATCCGCCAGCTTCGCAACGACCCGCTCCTGTCAACCGCGCTGGTTGGCAACCAGGCGCTCCTGGCAAATAAGGGGGCGCACGTTTTGGAGCACACCTCTCCGCAAGTTCTGGTCAACCTCCAGGGCTTGTACGACGATGTCCTGTTGGTCTCCCCGACCCTCGCGATCCTGCACACCAATGCGTCAGCGCCGGAATGGGAGACCGAGCTGACGAAGATCTTGCGCGACGACCCCGGCTACGCAGCTGTCCAGCTTCGTTGGCGACGATCCTCGCACGGTGGGCGGCCTTGGGCCCGTCCCCGCACGCTGGACACGGTGATTTCGGGCGTTGTGGCGCACGACCGGGCGAGGCGGAGTGGGCGCCCTACCGCGCCGGCATCAGGGCAGCTACGACTGACAGGCCCCCTGGGAGCTCGCCCGTTCGAGCTGCTCGCGCAGGTGATGGGCGCTGCTGGCCGGAAGATGGGCTTCGCATGGTCCCAGCACACGCTGCCAGGCGAGCTCCCTCCGAACTCCTGGTCATGCCAGCTCTCTGCATCAGGGGAGCCGACTGGCACCGTCAACTTCCGCCTTGGGAACACCTCGGAGGTCAAACGACTCCAGGAAGCCGTGCAGGGGGACATCGTCGAGATGAACGGGTCCCGGACGCCTATCCAGATCCTCAGCTCCGACCTGGCTGCCGGGACGTTTCGCGCCCAGCGGGGGGCGCAGGCCTGATGGCCACGACGGTCGGCGCGGCGTCCAGAAGAGACGTCGCGAGTACGTCATACTTCGATGGTGTGACGTCGAGCCAGCATCGAATTCAATCCCTTCTGCCTGCAATCGTTCCTTTTTTATGCCGTGCACGTCCAGATCTTCCTCGGGGGCATCTCCTACCACTCGTACTCCGACGATTTCTGCAGGCTCAGGGGCCGACGCGAATTTGGTTACTGATATTGCTTCTCAGACATCATCTCTGCCGGCTCAGCCAGTGCCCGCGGCTCGGACCTCAGAGCTCGTAGCTTCGAGCTCTGCCGCCGCTTCTGCCCAACCCTCCGCCTGTTCTTACTCAGCCTCCGCTGGGGGCTCCACCAGGCGACGCCCCCCGGCTTCGCGATCACGCCCCCTTCGGGCATGCCCACCCCGGGAAGCCCGACGACCCGGCGACGACCCCGCCCCGCCCCCCGACGACCCCTCGACGACCCCTCGACGACCCCACGGTGACCCCCCTACGAGCTCAAGACGACGCCACGACGACCCCATGACCCTCCGACGACGTGGCCTGACGGGATCCGACGCAGCCCGACGCAGCCCGACGCAGGCTTCCCGACCCCCCGACCCCTCGACGACCCCTCGACGACCCCACGGTGACCCCCCTACGAGCTCCAGACGACGCCTCGACGACCCCATGACCCCACGACGACGCGGCCTGACGGGATCCGGCGCCGCCCGATGCAGCCCGACGCAGATTTCCCGACCCCCCGACGACCCTTCGACGTTCCCCCGACGTCCCCACGATGCCCCCCCCGTGAGCCTCAGACGACCCCACGTCGACCCGACGCAGCCCGACGCAGCCCGACGCAGCCCGACGCGGCCCGACGCGGCCCGATGCGGCCCGACGCGGCCCGACGCAGCCCGACGCAGCCCGACCACCTCGTCGGCCAGACCTCCATCACCGCAGCCATCACCAGCGTCGCCGAGCGGGCCTGCCTCGTTTGGCACGCATCGCACTCGTGGATCCCCGTACTCAGGGGACGTGGTGGGCCGGAGCTGGAACGCGCAGGCGCTCTTTGCGCGCGACTCCAAGCGGCACCGGCAGAAGAGGGCGCACTGCTTGAATCTATTGCGCTCTGCTGATTTTCTGGCTCTGCAGGAGACGCACAGCACGCTTGGGGCCGCGGCTGTGGCGAAGTTCCCGAACAGCATCGCTACTTGGTGGTCCCATGGGTCCCAATCGATCGGCGGAGTAGGGCTACTGGTCAAGACCGCGTTCTTGGACAAGTTCGGAGGTGCCTCTCGTGCTACCTGGGTGGAGACTACGCCAGGACGGGCGGCTATCCTGAGATTGGACGGTTCGACTGGCTCGCTGGACATTGCCGTCTTGTACCTCCCTACTGGGCATGCGTCCGATGAGCGGGCGGCAATCAGAGCCTCGGTGATACGTGATCTTCGGCCGCGCGACCGGGCTACTACTATGCTGATTGGGGATTGGAATTTTGTACGCGAGGCAAATGACAGGCTTAACTTGTCCGATGCTGAATGGTCCCCCGGCTCCGACGTGGAGGAACACCGGGATTGGGCCACTGCGCTCTTTGAGCCGCTCGGCTTCCACGAGGTTTTTCAACCGGAGTGCACCCATCGGACTTCTTCGAGCACCTCGCGGTTGGACCGGGCATACGTGAACACGCACATCGCGGACCAGCTGTACCGGACCTGGACGTGCACGGCGCTTGACTGGTGCAGCAGACTTTCACACCACCGGCCGATCGAGACCGCCAGGCGCACTCCGGGACAGGAGACCCCCAGAAGGCGGCCAATCCCCACAGCTCCATCGCGCTCGACGGGGTGGGCGGCCCGGGTGACGCTGCGCTGGCAAGACCTGCGTCGACGGGACAGCTTGCGCGACACAGCACACCGCCGGCTGCTGTTGCTCAAACGAGCAATCGGCCAGATATGCATGGAGGAGTCGGCTCGTGGAACTACCTCCTCCGAGGCGACCTCAGCGGAAGACCGCCTGAGCGTCGCTATACGCTGCTTGCGGGCGGCCGAGGAGGGGAGACCACTGGCTGTGGAGCGGGCAGTGCGGGATTTCCCGGACATCGCACGCAGGCTATCCATCCCAGAGTTGCTCCGGGGAGCTCCAGCGGCCATCGAGAGCCTCAAAGACATCATCCTCCAGCTCGCGAGGGACGAGATCCGCCAAGATGTCGCCAGGCTGCACAGCGAACTGCCTGGCATGTCGGACGCTTCCGCGGCAGCTCACAGAGAATCAATCGCCATGAAGATTCGTCGCCTCAAACCGGGGGGCACCGCCCAGCTCCGTGCAATCCGGAAGCCCGACGGCTCGGTGACCACGGACCCGGAGCAGATCGCCGACGCCCTGGCCCAGCACTGGAGACTCGCATTCGGCAGGCAAGATATCGACCAGGACGCCTTGTCAGAGTGGTTACGCGAGGCGGCGCCCACCTGGGAACGCAGCCCGCTGCCTCGGGGCAGCGAGTTCTGGCACACCACCAGGGCAGACATTGCGTGGGCTGTCCGCACGGCGTCTAACTCTGCGCCTGGCCCGGATGGAATCCCGGCTTGTCTGTGGAAGCGTCTCGGGAGTTTGGCAGTGGACGCGCTGGAGGACGTGGCGACCTGCCTCCGGTCCGATTCCGCAGTGCACGATATCAGAGAGGCGTACCAAGATGATCCGGACGGGACATGCTCCTTCAACCTCGGCGTGGTCTGTTGCATCCCGAAAAAAGCAGGGGACATGGACCCAGTGTTAGGCGCAGTCCACCAAGCCGGAAACACGAGACCACTATGCCTGGTGGACGTGTCGAATCGGTTGCTCGCCTCGGCGTACAAACGGAGGTGGGAGCAGGGGCTCGGGCCGTGGGTCTCCGAACCCCAGCGCGGCTTCCTGCCTGGCCGCTCAATGATGCTGAACGTCATCGAGCTTGAGGCGGGCGCTCTTCGGACCGCGGCCAAATGTGCCCAGGGCATGGTAGTGCTCGTGGATTTCCGCGCCGCGTTCCCCAGCGTGGCGCACGACTTCCTGCGCGGGTGCTTGCGCGGCTACGGCGTGCCGGAGGAGGCCCTGGCTGCACTTCGAGCTTTCTACGCGGACGGGGCTTGCTCCATCTCGGTCGCTGGCGGATTATGGAGCGGCTTTGCCGTTGGATCGGGCATCCGCCAAGGCTGTCCACTGTCGCCTCTGGTGTTTGCCGCCTGCATGGATCTACTCCTACGCGTGCTCCAGCTCCGGCTCGGCGGCGGGTGCTTCATCCGCGCGTTCGCCGACGACGTGGGCATCATCTTGGACGACGTGCCCAAGCAACTGCCGATCCTTGCTGCCGCGCTCGAAGAGTTCGGCCGCCTCTCGGGCATGCAAGTCAATCTGGAGAAGACAATCGGCATCCCACTGTGGGGTGACAGTTTGGAGGAAGCGCGTGCAGTGGTCAGCGAGGCTGCGCCGTCTTGGTCCCAGCTCCCCCTGTCCCGCGAGGCCACCTACCTCGGGTGCGCCATCGGCCCAGGCAAGGTTGGCAAGGAGTGGGATCGTGCAGCCGCGCGTTTCCAGGATCGCGTGTCCGGGTGGCCGTGGCCGGAGTTGGGCCTGCACTTCGCCACATTTGTCTACAATGTGTACGCGCTCCCAGTGTTGAGCTTCACTGCCCAGATTGCGGACGTGGACGTCGCTGTCGGCGAGCTGGAGAAGTGGGCCTTGCGACGAGCTGCTCCTGGCCCTGGAAACTGGGCAATGCCGGAAGATCTGTGGCAACTTGACCGGAACTTCGGCATGCCGCAGGCTTTCGGGCAGCTGGCCACGCTGGCGCAGGCGGCGCAACTCCGCCTGGCTGCGTACGAGGATCGGAGGCTCAACAGAACCAGCCTGGAGCGGATGACGCTTGAGCTTCGAGCGGAGTGGAATCAGTCGCAGTACATGTTGCGCGTTGCGCGTTGGGCAGGCTGGCTGCACGCCTCCGCCCCCAGCGTCCTCGCGCGCAACGCGTGGCAACTCCACCGAAAGGGCATCACGGCCGAACGAGTTGTCGCTGCGCTGACTGGACAGAGCCCTGAGGCGCTGCCGGCTGAGGCGTGGGAGCAGGCCCGGCATTCGTTCCAGCGGGAGGTGCGCCGGCGGGTACACTCACTGCACCTGGACCGCATCCATATGCGCGTCAGAGATAAGCTGGAACGCTGGAAGTTCCCACGGGCGCCTGGGTTGCCAACGCCGCGGGTGCTTGCAGACAGAGTCCTTCAACATGTCTGGGCGCTCGGGCGCCTGGTGCCGCCTCGAGTCGCCGCGGCCGTTTTCCGAACTGCTTGGAACGGCTGGTGCACTGCTCGACGGTTTCAGCGCCGTGATGGACCACAGGATTTCTGCGTTTTGGGGTGTGGTTGCGGACGCGACAGCATCGAGCATTACTCGCGGTGCGCGGTGGTGAGAAGAGAGCTCACCAGTTCTTTGAAGATTCGCCGTGACTGGTACCTTCCACTTTGGATCGGCATCGACGACGCCCAGCACGAGGAGAACGTGGTGGTTCTTGGAGCGTTCGGCGCGTACGCCGCCTACCGGGCCACCAACGCGGCTCGCCGCACGGGGGGTCTTCCCGCCCCTGAAGGCGCGCGGGCTCTCCAGCAAGGTCTACGCGACGCTGCTGCTGGCCACGCGCCGTCGGAAAGACTTCTCTCGAGCATCTGGCGGCGCCCGGCCGCGGCGGACAGGTGAGGCTCGGTGCGCGGCGCGTTGATTTTTACGTCTGTCTCCGTTTCTTGCAAGCAACGGCCGTCCAGACCGTTACGGCGTGTGGTTCGATTTTGGTCGTGCCGGCCTATCCTCGATTTCTGGCCGGTCCCCGTTGTTGCCCCCTGCCCCTTTGTTTCAATTGTGGTGCAGGCCAGCCGCAGGGCCAGTGGCGCAGCCGAGACGCTCGTCGAGGGCGGTCCCCCTCCCCTCCGTCCTCCGCCTCGGCTCCTCCCCTCCCCTTTGTTTCAATTGTGGTGTAGGCCAGCCGCAGGGCCAGTGGTGCAGCCGAGACGCTCGTCGAGGGCGGTCCCCCTCCCCTCCCTCCTCCGTCCTCCGCCTCCGTCCTCCGCCTCCGCTCCTCCCCACCCCTTTGTTTCAATTGTGGTGCAGGCCAGCCGCAGGGCCAGTGGCGCAGCCGAGACGCTCGTCGAGGGCGGTCCCCCTCCCCTCCCTCCTCCGTCCTCTGCCTCCGTCCTCCGCCTCCGCTCCTCCCCTCCTCTTTGTTTCAAGTGTGGTGCAGGCCAGCCGCAGGGCCAGTGGCGCAGCCGTGACGCTCGTCGAGGGCGGTCCCCCTCCCCTCCCTCCTCCGTTCCTCCGCCTCCGTCCTCCGCCTCCCTCCTCCCACCCCTTTGTTTCAATTGTGGTGTAGGCCAGCCGCAGGGCCAGTGGTGCAGCCGAGACGCTCGTCGAGGGCGGTCCCCCTCCCCTCCTCCTCCGTCCTCCGCCTCCGTCCTCCGCCTCCGCTCCTCCCCACCCCTTTGTTTCAATTGTGGTGCAGGCCAGCCGCAGGGCCAGTGGCGCAGCCGAGACGCTCGTCGAGGGCGGTCCCCCTCCCCTCCCTCCTCCGTCCTCTGCCTCCGTCCTCCGCCTCCGCTCCTCCCCTCCTCTTTGTTTCAAGTGTGGTGCAGGCCAGCCGCAGGGCCAGTGGCGCAGCCGTGACGCTCGTCGAGGGCGGTCCCCCCCCCCTCCCTCCTCTGTCCTCCGCCTCCTCCTCCTCCTCCTCTCTCCCCCCCGTGAGTTTCGTTGCTGGCGGCTCCGCGCATCCGCTTTCTTTAGTCTGCATGGTGGCGTGCATGATGTTTTTTGTATACCCAGGGTGGCGCTGCATAGGAGGAGTGGGTACTCCTGATTGCGCGCGCCATCTGCCCGCGGGCCCGTCGCTTCCGCGCGGGCGGCGCCAACGTCCCGCCAACCGCCATGTGCGCTTGCCGGGCGTTCCGCCCCGTCTTGCCCGGAATTCGCGGTTGGCCCCCCGTGCGGGCGCGAGCGGACGCCCTTCCGTTCTGGCGCTGCTCCCCACCCCCAGCGCATTCGCCCAGGGGCCTCGTTCTTCCACTATTTCGTCGACGTACTTGATGACAATCTGTTGCAGTGATGCCGGCCGCACTGGGCCTGGCTCCTCTGCTCCGGCAGGAGGCGCTGTACAGTTAGGCTGTGTTGTTTCGTCTTCCTCCCTTCCCTCCTCGCTCGCTTTTGGGATTCCGGGTGGATCGAACCCGTATCCTACGCGTTGCCGGGCGGCGACAGCGGTTCTTCGATGGGTTTGGCTATAAACCCCCTTGAGGGGACGCGGATCACCTCTAGCACATGACTGGGTAGTTCGTATGTGTCGCCATTCTGCATCGTCTCTCCGAGGAGGCGGCGGCTGGTCGGAGTTTCAAGTCCGCAGTTTAATGGCAGGCGAGTCTCCCCGAGCCCGGGGCCATTGCCAGTTTGTCCCCCTTCCCTTTCCTCCCCTCGTCTCCTCGTCCCTCCTCCCCTGGGTCGGCGTTGAATCTGTAGGGTAATCCGCAGCGGCCGCCGGACTTCGCTCCATGGGCTCCCTTTCAAGGTCCGTGCGCGCTTCAATGGGTGCTGGCATAGCCCCCATGAGGGGAAGCGGACTCAATACGACCGAGCGTGCCTTTTTGTTTGGCCGTGCTGTTTCGGAGCAGGGGCTGAAACTGGTGTGTGTTTGCGGGGAGGAAAAAAAAAATTGCGTATATTATAGGTTCGTTTACAATCCCCCTGTAGGGGGACAGGCCCGACCTACAGTGGGGGCGCGCACCAAGAAACCATCTGCTTCTCGTCAGGGCACCCTGGGTTTCTTCGCTCCGCGCGCTGCGCGGCGACTTCCCGCGGCCGTTGAAGGAGCTGCTGCGTTCAGGGTGCTCCAGGTTCCCCCTCCCGTACCCTTCGCGCGCGGGTTCTCAGGGCTGGGTTTCCGGCGGGGGTTTCCTGCGGCCGCACCCGCACTGCAACTCTGGCCCCGTCGGCTCCGGCTCCACTGCGGGGCCGCCCCCCAGGCGCCCGCGCGGCGCGAGCCTCTTCTGCCCAGGCCGCCGGGCCCGGCACTCGGCCGGTAATATTGCGGCGCCCCGCTGCCGGGTCGGACGCAAAGGGGGGGACTGGGGAAGGGGTCGGGGGCGGCAAAGAGGGGGGGATGACTAGGCTTAGGGGGGGGGGTGGATCTCATGGCGTGGGCCGTGATGTTTTCCCAGATTTCATGGCGCCTCTTCTTACTTCGCTGCGTCCCTGGCCCCCCCCCCCCGGTGGCCGCGCACATGCCGCCGGTCATGATGTGCACCCTCCCCTCTTGGACACCCCCCTCTTGGCCGCTCCAGAAAGGGGGGGGTGCGAAATCTGCGGCACGCAGCTGGTTTCCCAGGCATGATCGCGTCGTTAAAAAATGAGGACGGGCCATTTTTGGCCATTTTTGGCCCCGGGGGGCCCTCGCCAGGCCTCGGGACCGTCAAAAAACGACTCGGGACGAAAAACCGGTCCCGGGAAAAGGGTCAGGACTTCCAGGGACGCCGTCCTGAAAAAAAAACAGGACGCCGCATGTCTGGGTTCGGCCCCACCGAGGGGCCCATTCCTCGATACATAGCTGCCTCCCGGCTCCAGGAGGCGCCGGGAAAGTCAGCTGCGTGAGCTGATTCTCAAACTCCCCCTTGCTATCCCCCCCTTTCGCCGGGCCCGACGCTGCTGGCGGGGTGCCTGCGGCGACATTGCAGCGGTTTTCAGACCTCTCGGCGTCTTGACGACACAGGACTTTTTTTTGTTCCTAGACCCCAGACCCCTTCGGGTAATGAAAAAATCATGACGGATGGTTTTTTGCTATTTTTGGCCTCTGAGGACCCTTACCGGCCCTCGGGACCGTCAAAAACGACTCAGGATGAAAAACCGTTCCAGGGGAATGGGTCGAGACCTCCAGGGGTCGACGTAATGAAAAAAACATGACGTCGGGGGTTTGGGACTTATGACTTTCCGACCCTTGATCATCAGAAAAAAATCCGAGCACCAGAAAAACAAACAACAATTGTTCGGTGGCTTCCGCGTGTCGGGCCCTGGAAGACACTCGCCCGACACTCTCCCGACACTTTTCCGGGTGCTCGAAACTATTCCTGGGACGTGGTCCTCAAGCACGATGGGAGCAACATAATCCTAAGGCTCCGATCTCTGGAGGCCAGCCTCGGGTCATTGTGGGCCGTCGGAGCACGACGCTCGGGACGAGGTGCCGCTCCAGGGGAAGGGGTCGGGATATTTCCAGGGACCCCGTGTTCAACAAGTCTTAAGTCGGGCCTGTCCCCCTATAGGGGGATTTTCGACGACAAATAAAACATACCCTCAAAATAGTGAAGATAGCCTGGGGACTACCTTTGTTGTGTTTTGTTTACATGTTTGGTGTAATTTTTGGGGTATTTCTTTCTTTCTTCGCCGAAAATCCCCCTGTAGGGGGACACGCCCGACATAAGACAAGCCTCGCCGTGGGAGGTCTCGGCCTCTATAGCAACCCCTGGGCTGCCAACACGGTGCGGCACTCGCCCTGGCCGAGCGTCAGCACGCCACCAAGACCCCGCAGGCAGTGCCGGGCCGCCGAGGGGCGAGCGCCTGCAGTCCGCGGGCCCGGGGCAGCTCCTCGTCTTGCAGCCACCCCCCCAGACCCCCTCGAGTCATGAAAAAATCACGACGGGAGGTTTTTCATTATTTTTGGCCTCTGGGGGCCCTTACCGGCCCTCGGGACCGTCAAAAAACGACTCAGGACGAAAAACCGGTCCTGGGGAAGGGGTCCAGACCTCTGGGGGTCGCCGTCATGAGAAAATCATGACGTCGGGGGTCTGGGCCTGAAGCAACCCCCCCTCGGTTAGAACTCACACAGAACTCACACAGAACTCACCGCGCTCGTAGAGCTCACCGCGGCGTTCGCCGTGCAGCGAGAGGCGGGCCGGATGGCGGCGCCGAGGATCTGCAAGAAGGTGCAGTGCACCAAGGGGCGCCGTAGTGACCCCCCATCACCGGCGACCCGACTCTGATGCCCCCCCCCCTCCCTGGGCTCCCGAAGACTGTCCCCGCTGGGATGCCGAGATCGAGGGCGCAAAGCGCAGGGGATGAGCAAGAGACCACCCGAGGGACCTGGGCATGCGACGCTCCCAATCTTTTCGCAGCGCGCAGCGCGTGGGCCCTCCGAGGTGGTCCTCCCCGGGGGCCGCCCTTTCGCATCCCGAGCTGTCTTTTGACGGTCCCGTGGCCCCGTGCCCCTGAAGGCCGAGACCAGACGAAAACCTTCCAGTCGCCGCCGCAAAAAAAACATCCTCGTGGAAAGTCACGATCGGAGCCCTCGACCCCGTCTTTCGGCGGCAGTCCCCGAGCCGGATCGATCCTCCTCCTCCTCCTCCTCCTCCTCCTCCTCCTCCTCCTCCTCCTCCTCCTCCTCCTCCTCCTCCTCCCCCTCCTCCTCCTCCTCCTCCTCCTCCTCCTCCTCCTCCCCCTGGGCCCGAAATCTAGGCCACGACGCCCAGACCTCGGGGGGGGCGCATCGACGCCCAGTCGCCTATGGATCAGCGATAGGGGGCGCGTCAGCCCGCCCCGCTCAGGGACGAGCGGATTCGCTGTTGGCGGGCCCATCGCCGATCTATCGGCGATGTGTCGCCGATTCAAGCTCGCTCGATGTTGCCCCCCGCACCCCCCCCGCCTCCTCGGGGACGGCCAAGAGGGGGGGCGAGGACAGGGGGGTGGATATGCCATGGCCAGGGCCACGATAATTCCCCTGATCTCATGGCGCCTCTTCTTATTTCGGTACGTCTCTCGGCCCCCCCAGGGGGCTGCGCACATGCCGCCGGCCAGGACTTGCGGCCGGTCCCTCCTGGGCGCCCCCCTCTTGGACGCCCCCGACCTCCATCGGCTGGCCCCCGCCTGACCGGGAGCCTCGGGGGAGGTCTGGCGCCACGCCCCCCCCACCCCACCTTGGGAGGAGGAGCAGGAGCAGGAGCAGGAGGAGGAGGAGGAGGAGGAGGAGGAGGAGGAGGAGGCGGATGAGGAGGAAGAGGAGCAGGAGCAGGAGCAGGAGGAGGAGGAGGAGAAGATGGAGGAGGAGGAGGAGGAGGAGGGAGGGAGGAGGAGGGGAGGGGGCGAGGAGGTAGGAGAAGAGGAGAAGAGGAGAAGAGGAGAAAGAGGGAAGAAGAGAGAAAGAGGAGAAGAGGAGAAGAGGCGCAAGAGGAGAAGAGGAGGAAGAGGAGAAGAGGAGACAGAGGCGAGAAGAGGGAGAAGAGGAGAAGAGCGAGAAGAGGAGAAGAGGAGAAGAGGAGGAGGAGGAGGAGGAGGAGGAGGTCCCGCAGGCCACCTCGCCGTCCGCAGCCACGGGCAGGTCGACGGCCCCGTCCCGGCGGCGAAGCTGGGGCAGTTCGTGCGGGCGGCGGCCGGCCGAGCCGCCGGGGCACGGCTGGCGGCCGCGGGCGCCCGGGCCGAGGGGCTGTCCAGCGGGCGCAGGTCGGCTGCACACGTTCACGGACCCCCTGGCGCTGTGACAGAATCACGCCGCGGGAGGTTGTTCGCCATGTGCGGCCTCCGGGGGCCCTTCCCGGGCCTCGGGGCCGTCAAAAGACGACTGAGGATGAAAGACCGGTCCGGGGAGGGAGTCCAGACCTCTGGGGGTCGGCGCTGCGAAAAGATCACGACGTCGGGGGTCTGGGTTTGGAGTGGCCCTCCGCTGGGGTGACCTCAGTGCGCGGCTTTCGGGGGGCGCGAGGTGGCCGAGCCCAGGCACTCAGGCCGTCACCGCCCACCAAGCCACACCAACCCAGAGCCCGAAGGCCCCGATTTGCCCTCCGCTTGCAGTGGGGGGGGGGGGGGCGGTTCGGGGAACACTGGAAAAGCACGCATGTGAAGCCCGTGCCCCCCCCCCCCAGCCCGAAATTCGGGCCTTCGGGTTGGGCTGGGCTGGTCTGGCAGGCAGTCGGGCCGCCAACCGTCGCCTCACATGCAGCCGGCGGCAGACCGCGCACCGGAGGGCACTCCTGCCCAGCGCCGCTCCCACGCGCAGCCCGGCAGGGGGGCGCCGCGGGGGCCCGCGGGCGCCCCGGCCGAGGGGCGCAAGGCTCGAGGGCCCAGAAGCGTCAGCCTGCAGGCGGTCGGAGGGGCGAGGAGCACCATGAGGACGATGCTGGGGCTGCCTCGGCGCCGGTGGTGCGCCACCCCGCGGATCTTGAGCCGCGGGCTGCGGGAGGAGGAGGAGGAGGAGGAGGAGGAGGAGGAGGAGGAGGAGGAGGAGGAGGAGGAGGAGGAGGGAGTAGCCGCGGACTCTGGGACTGCTTCTGGGCTTCGAGGGGCATCATGAGGATGATGCGCTCCAAGATTTCCAGGCTCTCCTGCTGTCCCGCGCTGCCAGGGACTTAATGGCCGAGCACGAACGACCGAGGGCCGCCAGAAACTCGAACATTCCCGGAACAGATCCTGAGCCAATTGCATCATGCTCGTCCTGTGCAGGAGGTCGTGCCCGTAAGGTCGGGGCCAGACCTGATCTCGTCGTGCCCACCAAAAAGACACGGCGGGAGGTGAACTGGCAGTTTTTGGCCGCCAGGGCCTTCACTAGGCTCGGGGAGCGTCAGAAAACGGCTCGGAATGAAGGGCCTGCTCCCAGGAAACATGGCCTATACATCTAGACTATAGATATATGGTGGCCCACTTTGGAAACCACATGTCAGAGAACTGGGGGGGAGGCCAGGCTGTTGAGAGTCGTTCGCCATTTCTTGTGCCTCGGGGTGGCTCGCCGTTGCCTCGATTGGGTGCCCCTCGAAATTCTGGCCACAACGCATCCCAGGACAGGTCTTGGGTCTTGGGCTGAAGTGAAGGTGCCCTAAAGGAAAGGGTCTTGCCAGTTCCCGTCATTCTCGGGCGCCTGGAGCCCTCCCGGGCCCAGGCGCAGTCGAAACGAGCTCCGGGCGAGAAGCTGGTCTCGGGGAAAGCCTTGAGTCGGGCTTGTCCCTCTACAGGAGGAATTTTCAATAATAGTCAAAACATAGTCCGGGGATCTTTTTAAATGGTTTGGTCGTTTTTTGTATGTTTGCAACGATGTTTCGTTGTTCGTCCAAGCTCCCCCCGTAGGAGGACAGGCCCGACTTGAGGATCGCCCCAGGAGCTGAGACCAATGTCCACAGCGACCCTCAGCGCCCTACCCGTGTGAAGCAAAGCACTGGTCGAGCAGTGTCGAAGCGTCTTGGCTCGCCTGGAGGCCTACCCAAGTATGTTCTAAGAACCTCTCATTGTTTGCACGGAGTGTTCATAGAGCATTTCTGTTTGGGATTCTCTTGTTTCAACACATCGGGTTTATGTTATGAGAACATGGTTTCTGTTCTCAGAACATTTAGGCCTTCTAAGAACATGTCTCGTGATAGTCATATAGGAATGCTGGGACGGTCGGCCCCTGCTCAATTCTGATGCCCCCCCCTCCCTGGGCTCCCGAAGACCGTCCCCGCTGGGATGCCGAGATCGAGGGCGCAACGCGCAGGGGATGAGCAAGAGGCAGCCCGCGGGACCTGGGCCTGCGACGCTCCCAATATTTTCGCAGCGCGTGGGCCCTCCGAGGTGGTCCTCCCCGGGGGCCGCCCTTTCGCATCCCGAGCTGTCTTTTGACGGTCTCGTGGCCCCATGCCCCTGGAGGCCGAGGCCAGATAAAAACCTTCCAGTCTCGCGGCGCCCCGTCGGGCCGGACGAAAGGGGGGGATTGGCAAGGGGGGGGGGGGTACGAAATCTGCCGCATGCAGCTGGTTTCGGCCCCGCCGCCGGGCCCACTCCTCGATCCTCCCGGCGCCTCCCGGCGCTGGGAAAGTTGGCTACGTGAGCCGATTCTCCCCCCCCCCCCTTTGCTATCCCCCCCTTTCGCGCCCGGCCTGAAGGTGGTCCCCCCCTTGGACCGCCGCGGGCCGCGGATCTCCGTGGGTCCGCGCTGGGCGCCCGAGCCCCGCACCCCTGGGCGCCCGAGCCCCGCACCCGCACCCCCCGCGTGCGGCGGGTCCAGCGCCTGCCCCGGCAAGTCCGCGCGCCGCCCTCGGCAGTGCACGTCTAGGCCTGAGTCGGGCCTGTCCCTCTGCAGCGGGCATACCCGAAAATAGTTCAAACAAAATAGTACGGGGGCGTTTCTGCATTTTTCCACTGTTTTGGAATCTGTCTAGGCTGTTCTCAATTTTCTGTTGTCCAAAATCCGCCTGTAGGAGGACACGCCCGACCGAAGTCTAGGCCTCCTAGATCCTAGATGGGGTCGGAATACACATTGTTCATTTCCAGGTCTTCGAAAGCTCTGTGATTTTTTGGGGGCCAGAATCCTTTCATTACCATTGTTCTATCCTGGGCCTCTCTCTGGCCACCAGGGGGCCAGGAACAATTCGGAACGAGCACAGGTAGAAATGAGCACGATTAGAAATGAATGACGTGCAGGCCTCCTAGATCCTAGATGGGGTCGGAGCAGATGGGGCTGGAGGATCGCGCCGCATCGCCGATGCATCGCCGATGCGGCTCGATGTGCAGCCCGAGTTGCTTCACGTCAACGTCGCCGATGCATCGCCGACGTCGCTGATGCCTCGCTAGTGTATCGCCGATGCATCGGCGATGCATCGGCGATGCGGCTCGATGTGCAGCCCGATTTGCTTCACGTCGACGTCGCCGATGCATCGCCGGCGTCGACGATGCATCGCCGGTGTATCGCCGATACATCGCCGGTGCATCGCCGATGTATCGGCGATGCGGCGCGATCCTCGGACTCCATCTCCTCCAGCCCAATCTCTAGGAGGCCTCTATTATGCTCCACAGATATCCGACATCAGTTTTTCTCCATAGCTTGGACCCCCGGAGGTCTGGACCTCTCCCCTGGGCCGACTTGCCGCTATCCCGAGCGAATGTCTGACGCTCCCAGGGCCCGGTGAGGGCCCTGTAGCCTAAAAGCCTTCAAACGTAAGCTGCGGTGCTCTTTGTCTGCTTCGCGACGAGAGGATGTCTCGGTCATGCCGCCGCTGAAAAGTCAGGAGGGGAGAAAACACACAGACACAATTAACTATCGACTCCCTCGAAAATAAGGGAAGATATGGGAAGTGGGGGGGAAAACGAAAGCCCAAAACATATGGACCAAGATGGGGGAAATCCTATTACTTGTGTGTGTATTTCTTTGTGCGTCCTTGGGCCCCCTCAAAAAGGCCAAGCCGGAGGCCGCGCGCAGGCTCGCGGCGCAGCTCCTGCCCGGGCTCGCCCGCGCGACGAGGGCGCGGGCGCTGCGCGCCGCGCGCGGCGCCGGCGCCCCGCCGCGGCCCGCGGGCGGACGCGCGCCCGCGCCGCTGCGCGCGCGGCCGCGCCCGGCGCCCGCCGGCTTCGCGCGGGGCAGACGGGCTCGCGCCCCCCAACCGCGGGCCCCGGCGCGCCGCGCCGCGCGCCCAGCGCCGCGGGCGCCGCGGAGGCGGAGCCGGGCGCCGGGGCCGCCGCTGCGTCGGCGGCGCCGCCCAAGGTCGGCCTCGCGGCGCCCCGCCCCACTTCCGCCGGGCGGGCCATGGCGTGTCTCAGCCCCACGGCGCCACCCACCAAACCACCCCAATCCAACCCGAGGGCTCAGATTTGCCCTCGATTTCCAGTGGGGGGGGGGGGGGCAGGAAGCATCGAACAGAACACTTATGGAACCCTTATTACCCCCCAACCCGAAGTTCGGGTCTTCGGGTTGGGTTGGGGTGGTCTGGTAGGTAGTCACTCACTGCACCCCACCACACCCCTGTCCAGGCTCGGCCCCTCGGTTAACCCGAAGGGAGCCGCCTCCGGCCCCAGGCATGCGACGTCCTGATTTGTTCAGGGCGGCGTCCGTGGAAGTCCCGACCCTTTCCTCGGGACCAGTTTTTCATCCAGAGTCGTTTTTCGACGGTCCTGAGTCGTTTCTCGATGGCCAAAAACTTCCCGTCCTCTTTTTTTTCGCACGGCGCGATCATGTCTGGGGCCCCATCTGGGGGGGCAAGTCGGCCAGTGAGGCCCAGGCCACGCCAGTGGGAATAGGGGATAGGGATCGTTTGAACGATGCCCCGAAGGGCCTGGGTCTCGGCGACGGCTCGGGCCACCAGCGGCAGCGGCGGGCGGCGATGGGCGGCTGCTAGGCTGCAGGCTGTGCTGGGGCTGCCTCGGCGCCGGTGATGCGCCACCTCGCGGCTCTTGAGCCGCGGGCCGCGGGAGGAGGAGGAGGAGGAGGAGGAGGAGGAGGAGGAGGAGAAGGAGGAGGAGGAGGAGGAGGGAGGGGAAGGAGGAGGGGGAGGAGGAGGAGGAGGAGGAGGAGGAGGAGGAGGAGGAGGAGGAGGAGGAGGAGGAGGGGGAGGGGAGGAGGAGGAAGTAGCCGCGGACTTTGGGACTGCATTTTCGGTTTCGGGGGCCCTCCCGAGGCCCCCGGACCTTCAAAGAACGACTCGGGATGAGAAGTTGGTCCTGGGGAAGTGGCCGAGATCTCTGGGAGTCGAAGCTGTGAAGAAAGATCACGTTGCCGGGTATTTGGGCTGGCTTTTTCTGCGTTCGCAGAGGAGTCCGAGCCCACAAGTTCGCCTGGCGGGTCCTGTCTGTGTGGTATACCCCCATCGAGATTCAGAGGAACAAACTTCCGATGGCAACACCAATGCCCTTCCCCCTAACTGTCCATTGCTTGGGGCAACTAAAGTTAAGTCGGGCCTGTCCCCCTTCAGGAGGAATATTCTAACATAATGAAAAATAGTCTGGGGACGATTTCTGGAGACTTTTTGTTGACCATCTGGGGGTATTTTGGGAGTAGTCTTTTTTCCGGCCAAAATCCCCCTGTTAGGAGGACAGGCCCGACTTAAAACTAGGGGGTGGCGCCCTCGTCATCACGGTTGGGCTTTCGGGAGCGCGCCCAGGGGGAGGGCAGAGGAGGGTCGGCATCGGTATTGCGCCGTTTATGAAAATCCTGGAGGCCTCGCGCGGCGCGTAATAGTAGTATGATCTAGTCCACTTGTCAGTTCCGTAAGCTATATGTCGACGCTCGCGCGGCGATGCTCAGGAGTCAGTCCGACGTAAATCCGATTTAAATCCGACGTAGTCCGACGTGAACCCGACGTAATTCCGACGTAGATCCGACGTACATCGGGTCTCAAGTTGCCGCGCGAGGCTGCCAGGATTTTCTTCATAACGCTGTACCCCGTATCTTGATAATGAGGCGCCCACTCCTGCCAATTCGTCGGTTCTCGAATTCACTTGCTGTAGTCAGCTGCACCACTCCCTACTCTGCAGCGCGCAGTCCGCGCACTGTGGCTGGGAGGGGTGCTCGCGCGGGATTGTACCTTGTCTTTTGTTTTGTTGTTTAGCACATAGACAGATGTGTCTTTATTTATCTTTCTTCTCTCTCTCTCACTCTCTCTCTCACTCTCTCTGTCATCATACCAATTAAGAGAGGATCCGTTTGAGACAACGGACCCCGCACAATTTCTGTAGATTCCGCAAGGCTACCACAGCTTCTGTTCATAATGCGCTAGGGGCTGCCTCGGCGGTCAAGCAGGCGCTGTTACATGATGAATTTGCCCAGCCGCTCAGCACCGGGAGTGAACAAACACAACATGTGCATGTATATATCTATATATATGTATACATATCGAACCTGCAGCGAACCACCAACCGACCGCCGCCTGGCACCCCCCTCCCCCCGTGCCCCCGTGGAAGACAGTTATGAGGCCGACAAGGATGTCCGAAAGGGTCTGCTTCCATCTTTGCGCGCGCGTGGCTGCCGCAGCGTCTCGACCCGGGGGACGGTCGTCCCGATCTGGCGGCCCTCGGGCCATCCTGCCACCGCGCCCGGGTTTTAGGTCAGAGGCCTCTTCGGGCCTCTCTCGGGCCTCTTGGGCGTGTTTTTCTCTGGCTTCTTGGCGGCCTCTGCTTGGGAGCCTACTTCTGGCGGTCTCGGGGGTCATCACGGCGCGGCGGGCTCAGCACGTCAGTTCGAGCCCCCCTCGGGGTGCTCTCGGGCTGTCTTGAAGGCTTTCTGGGCCACCGCCAGGGCCGCTCGGGCAATCTTGGGGTCGTCTTGGGCCGCCTCGGGGCGATCTCTGGGGGCCTCTCCAGGGTTGTCCTGAATCGTCGGGAGACCGACATCACGAGCACGCTGTTCTTTCGGTTTTGTGTCGTTGCTATCACTGCTTTCGTTTTGAACTGAGTATCTGAAAATTTGTTAGCCAGCCTGGGGCCCAAACAAAGAGATCTTGTGAAGGCCTTGCGGCCAGTGCCGCCGACTTTAGAGGCGGGACTTCCCCCAGGACCCCCGCTGGCCACTCCCCCCATAACCCGCCTGGATCTGGGGGGGCGGCGGCATTCTCACTCAGGACCGCCCTCCTCCACCGTAGGCGGGACCTCTCCCGGGAACCCCCTCCAGGACCCTCCCCCGCGGGGGGTGCCCCCCCCCCCCTTCCCTCCCTGTCCACAGGGGGGTGCGGGGAGTGGAGGGGGGGCCGCCGGGACCCCAGGGGGGGGCGGCGATCTGACGCGGGGCCCCTCCCTTGCCCCCGTTCCCCCCCCCATCCGGAAACGGAAATACCCGGTGGCGTACCCAGTAATGTCTGATCATGTGGCGAAGGAGATCTACAGGACCGCTCACTGCAATCGAACATGCGGAAGGACCCGCAGTGTGCATAAGCTTCCACATGTACGCAAGAACGCATGCAGGAATAAGCAAGACAGAGACGGAGACGGAAACATTCAGGGGGATGTGAAGGAGGGACATACATGTTCGGTAACAGCAACAGCGCCGAGCTCACGCGGGAAGAAAACAGCGCCATGCGCTCGCTATATAGCAGAACAGCGCGTCGCGCTGAGCGAGGCAAGCGCGCGGGGTGGCATGGCAGGCCAGGGGCAGTTGAGGATGGCAGGCCACGCGGACAAAAAACAGCGCCACGCGCTGCGTGGCGCAGCGGCTCCCTGCGAGCTGCATGTCGTCAGCGCCGAGCGCTGCGTGACGGGACAGCGCCGCGCGCGATCGGAACTCCTGCCATTCTGGATGCGAGTACTTGCCGTCTGTTGTTTTATTTCTCGTCGCGACCTCCCAGCAGCCCACGAGAGTGGTGACAGTTTCGCACTTCGCAGCCCCCCGGGGAGCCGCGAGGTCCCAACTGGATCCCTGTACAGCTCCACTCCGCGCGACCTCTCAGGAGCCGCGAGGTCCCAAGTGGACCCCGTGCAGCTCCAGTCCGTGCGATCACCCTGGAGCCCACGAAAGTAGCTAATGCTGCGCATGTCGCAGCCCCCAAGGGAGCCGCGAGGTCTCAGCTGGATCCCCGTACAACTCCACTGCGCGCGACCTCCCGGGAGCCCACGACAGTGGCGACAGATGCGCACTTCGCAGCCCCACCAGGGCCCACGGAAGTGATGTGGCGCACGTCGCAGCCCCCCCAGGGAGCCGCGAGGTCCCAGCTGGATCTCCGTACAACTCCACTCCGCGCAGGCCTCCCAGGGGCCCACGACAGTGGCAGTCCCCCAGGGAGCCGTGAGGTCCCAGGTGGATCTCCGTACAGCTCCACTCCGCGCAGGCCTCCCAGGAGCCCAAGGGAATTGGGCGGCAGGGATAGAGCACACGCCGAAGAACAATGGCACGCGAACCCTGCTCGCGACAGCAGGCAGGACGCCGGAGGCAGGGGGGGAGGAGGAAGGAAAAGACGAGTGGCGACCACAGCGTTCTATCCAAAGCGAGGACCCAACAGAACGGGTTTGGAACAACGTGGAGGGGATCAGCTTAACTGCGACGTTCGTTCCTGAAGTTCACTGGGACTGGCGGCGACGACGACGACGAAGACGATGACAGCGTCCCACACACGCCGAGGGGTCGGCAGATTTCATTGTGGAGGTGCAAATTCTGTGGTGTAAGCTATGCGGTGTGATCTATGTGATGTGAGCTATGGTGCGTAAGCCATGCTGTGTGATATATGTCGTGACATGTGAGGTGAGCCATGCTTTTTGAGCTATGCGGTGTAAGCTATATTGTGTATGCTACGCTGTGTATTCTGTGCAACGTGAGTTGTGGCTTTGAGCTGTGCGGTGTACGCCATGTGTTGTAAGCTGTGTGTCGTAGGCTATGCGGTGTGAGCTGTGTGGTTTGAGCTACGTCGAGTGAGATGCAGCGTGCGCCGTGTGATGGAAGCTACTGGGCGGAGCCCCCCAAACGGCCACGTAGCGGCAACGGGCCGCGACGCGGTGAAGCCTCGGTGGAAGCCCCCCAGGTGGGCGGCCATGGGGCGGCCGCGAGGCGGCCGCGGGCGGCGCCCCGAAAGCGAGAGCGGCCACGGGCGGCGGCCCGGCGACACTTCGGCGCACCCCCCGGGCGTGGGCGGCGAGGAGTTGGCCACGCGTCGGCCACGGGCGGCGCCGCGGCGACGCCTCGGCGGCCGAAGCGGCGGCGGCGGGCCCCCCTCTGAAGGGGGCGGCAGCGGGGCGGTCACGAGGCGGCAGTGGGGCGGCCATCGAGGCGGCCACGGGGCGGCGGCGCGGCGAGGTCGCGGCGGGCCCCCCCAAAAAGGGGCGGCAGGGCGGAGGCCACGGGCGCCGGCGGGGCGAGATCTGGGCGGGCCCCCCGAAAGTGGGCGGCGGCGGGGCGGCCACGAGGCGGGCGGCGACGCGGAGATTCCCCAAGGTCCGCGTCACGCTTTTCTCATCCCCATCGTCTCCCTTAGCTCCCGCTCCTGACCTTGCTCATCTTCCCCCGCGTCACCCTCCTCGTCAGACTCGCACTCCGCAACCTGCTGATCGTCCTCTCCGCGCCTCCTCTTCGCATCCTTCCCCCCCCCCTGATCCGAATCTTGCTTGTCAACCTGCTTCTCCTCCTTCTCAGCCTTCCCATCGCTTCCTGCCAGTCTTCTCTCCCACTCCTGACCCTCCCCCCTATACCCCCTTGCCCCTCCCCTCCCTCTCCTGCTGCCTCTCCTCGCGCTGCTTCTGCTGCCCCTCTCTGAGCTGCTCCTCGCCCGCTCCCGTGGCAGTTCTTGACTCGGTGCTATGCCCGGCAGGCTGCGCCGCCGCGCGCAAGCTGATGGGCCTGTTTTCCACCACCACCACCACCATAAGTTGGAGGAGGGGGGGGAGGTGGAGGACAAGGAGGAGGAAGAGGAGGAGGAGGAGGAGGAGGAGGAGGAGGAGGACCCCTTCCTCCTCCTACTTACGGTGGTGGTGGTGGAACACTTGCCCATCACGAGCCCCCGCGCGTGCCGGGCGGCTCTGGCCGGCGGCATGGGCCAGAGAGCGTCGTACCGCCCGCCGCGCGCGCGGGTGCTGGCCAGGCGGGCGGCAACGGCGCTGTGCGTCGTCTCCGCCGGGCTGGCGGGCACGCGCTTCGTGCAGCTGCAGCCCGAGGATCACCACCAACCAAGCCACCCCAACTCAAGCAGTGGCGAAGCGTCCTGGCTCGCCTATAGCCCTACCAAACAATATTCTAAGAACCTTTTGTGGTTTCCACGAAATGTTCTTGGAACAGTTCTGGCAAAGTCTCTTTTGTTGTGTCACATCGGGTTTATGTTCTAAGACCTTTTTTTGTTCTTAGAACATTTTTGGATTCTAAGAACATTTCGTGGTAGGACTATAGGAATGCCGGGACGGTCGGTCCCTGCTCAAGAGGATCACCACCTTCCAAGCCACCCCAACCCAACCCGAAGGCTTCAACTTGTCAGAAGCCAGCAACATATGTACACGTACGCGGTTAGCTTCCCTTGGAGTGCGTGTCAACGCGGACGTTCGTGCAGGCAAGACCGCGGAGGGCGTACATGTACATATGTCGTTGCTCGCCCAAATTTGCCGTCCATTTCCAGTGGGGGATGGTCGGGGAACATTGGAAAAGCACATGGAACCCGTACCCCCCCCCCCGACCCGAAATGCGGATCAAAGTCGGGTCTTCGGGTTGGGCTGGGGCGGTCTGGTAGGTAGTCAGAGGACGCGCTTGCCGGCGGGCTCGCGGAGGGCAGCAGCGCGGCGGCGCGGGCGGGCAGCGTTGCGGCCGCAGGCGCGGGCGGGGTATCCGTGCAGGCGAGCGGTGTGGCTTCGGGAGCGGGTGCGGAGGCCACGCACGAGAGTGAGGCAGCAGGTGCTGGAAGGCTTTGGAAGGCGAGTGCCAGTACGACCGCACAGATGGGTGGCGCGATCGCAGAAGTGGTGGGCACGACAAGTACGACCACGCAGGCTGCAACCCAGCAACAAACAAAGACACGGATTTGGTTTTTTGTTCAGCGGAAGAATTATGATTACGGCCGTTATCTATATTGGCCTGTTTTGGCAAGCCTATCGGATAGTTTTAATGCTTTGGGAGCGGCTTCAGACATTGTTGGGGTTCGTGACGTAGACCGCATGGAATCACATATTGTATCCAGGTCAGGAGTCATCGAATCGCACTGGATTGTGATATTCTCTGAGCCTCCAGCAAAATGTAATGAATCAATGAGTTATCCCACACGCTCGTGCAGTTCCTCCGACGCCCCGAATTCTTAAGGTCACGAGATGTCTTGAGATGTCTCCGAGTAGGTGCGGCGGAGAAAGGCGAACTGAGGGGAGAGGGATCTCAGGGCCATACCGGGCCGACTTGGGCCAGATTGGTAATTTTTGGATGCCGTCTTGGGGAAACTTGGGCAAGGTATTGCAGTCTTGGAGGCGGTCTTGGGCCCTGTCGGGGCCATTTGGGCCGGATTGGTTGCCTGCCTCGGATGCGCGGGGGATGCGTTGACGCGCTCGCGTTCCCCTGTTCTGTTTTGGGCGATCTTCACACGTGCGATTGCTGGTGATGCTGACGTGGCCGGTTATTCTCAGACCATCTGTTGATCAACGCCGCGAGAACGAAAGAGGCGTGTGTGCGTGTGTGGGCGCGTGTGTGTGTGAGAGAGAGAGAGAGTGCGCGCGCGTGTGTGGGCGCGTGTGTGGGCGCGCTCGCTGTGTGTGTGTGTGTGTTTGTGTGTGTGCGTGTGTGTGTGTGTGTGTGTGTGCGCGTGTGCGTGTGTGTGCGCGTGTGCGTGTGCGCGTGTGCGTATGTGCGTGTGTGTGTGTGTGTGTGTGTGTGTGTCTGTGTGTGCATGTGCGCGTGTGCGTGTGTGTGTGTGTGTGTGTGTGCCTGCGCGTGTGAGTGCGTGAGCGCGTGAGTGCGTGCGCGTGTGCGTGCGCGTGTTTTGGGCGATCTTCACACGTGCGATTGCTGGTGATGCTGACGCGGCCCGTTATTTTCCGACCATCTATTGATCAACGCCGCGAGAAGGACAGAGGCGTGTGTGCGTGTGTGGGCGCGTGTGTGTGAGTGCGTGCGCGTGTGGGCGCGTGCGCGAGTGTGGGCGCGCGCGCGGGTGTGTGTGTGTGTGTGCGTGTGTGTGCGTGTGTGCGTGTGTGTGTGTGTGTGTGCGTGTGTGTGTGTGTGCATGTGTGTGCGTGAGTGCGTGCGCGTGTCTGTGTGTGTGTGTGTACGTGTGCCCTAGCGCCTCGCGTCAGGCGTGGCGTTGGACCGTTCGGCCAGGGGAGGGGGGGCCCCAGCGGGAGAGCGGGCAGCAAGACATCTACGGCAGGTTCGCGCTGTGTCGATGGCTGGCGACCCCGTCGTCGGCGTTCAACGTTGAACGCCGCCTGCGACCCAGACTCGGCCGATGTTGAACGACCGAACGTTTCGGAAACGGCCGATCGTTCAAGGTTGAACGGTACCCGCGGTGTCAGGAGCCAGCGCCGGGGTCGACACGACACGAACCCGCGCTACTCCTGGCAGCCGGGGGTCGACGGACATGCGGAGACTGGGCGGGCTTGGTGCGCGGCTGGTTTTGTACAATTGATGGGCCCGTTTTCCGCCACCACCACCATAAGTTGGATGGGGGAGGAGGACGAGGAGGAGGAGGAGGACGAGGAGGAGGAGTTGAGGACGAGGAGGAGGAGGAGGAGGAGGTGGTGGAGGAGGAGGAGGAGGAGGTGGAGGAGGAGGACCCCCTCCCCCTCCAACTTATGGTGGTGGTGGTGGAAAACAAGCCCATCAACAATGCTGAACCGGGCGATTTTCAGCCCGAGAGGATGGCGAGGTGCGCACGCGAAGTCGGCGCAGCGGAGATATGGGAGTACTCGATGAAGAACATGCCGTACTATCAGGGCAACAGTCCAGCAACAACACGGTTCCTCCCACCCCACTATAGTAATTCGCTAGATTACGGCGTTGATCTGAATAATGCCACGGCGCATCAGAGTCGCACCTGCCTCCTTCAGAACAAAGGTTTCCGGCCCAAATTGGTCACGGAAGCGGTGATGAAGTTCTTCAACCGCACCCACTCGTTGTTGGAGGTGAGTGTGAACCCTTTTTCTTCTTCTCGGGCGAGATTGAGAAAAACGTTTATGGGTTGCGCAATGGGTCTAAACATGCATGCGACGGGGGAGCGTGCCGTTGGACAAATGGAGTCGTTCCGAATGGCGTTGTTTCTTTCTAACAAGATGTGCGTGCTGTCCGAGAGCCTCGACCGAGCCGACGTGCCGCTCTGGGACAGTCTCGTTAAGATGCCAACGGCTAGTTGGAAGCCAAATGTGTCGTCGAGAATTGCAGGTTTGGAGGGCATGTTCTCTATCATCGGCGATCTGATGAAGGACCCTTTGGCGCTAGCCGAGTGCAGGCGGAAGTCTCACGAGCTGTACAAGACGCGCTTTTCTGGCGAGCGTGTGCTCTCAAGTGCAGGCATAAACGCCACCATGCTGAGGTTGCTAGAAGAGCACGTCAGGAATAAGCACAACGATGGCACTTGGCTCCGCGATGCCCAGGCTGCAGGCATAAATGCCAAGAAGCTGGGGCTGGTGGTGTGAAATGCTTCTGTCGAGCAAGGGCCAGGTGCAGGGTGGAGTTTTGTTCCATCTGCTTTTGATTCGTCCGCTTCTGTTTCTCCATTTATGTTTCGTCCGCTTTTGTTTCATCCCCTTTTTTCATCCGCGTTTGTTTCGTCCGGCTTTCGTTTCGTCCGCTTTTGTTTCATCTGCTTTTGTTTCGTCCGCTTTTGTTTTTTTTTTTTTTTTTTTTTTTTTGTTTTCTTTTTTTTTTTTTTTTTTTTATTTTTTTTTTTTTTGTTTTTTTTTTTTTTTTTTTTTTTTTTTTTTTTTTTTTGTTTCGTCCGCTGTTGTTTATCGTCCCCTTTTATTTCGTCTGCTTCGGTTGCGTCCGCTCTGTGTTTCTTGATTCGTGTGGAAGATGGGGGGATGAAAACCGGATGAATTTAACCGGGCGAATAAAAACCATATGAATTCAAATTGGGCGAATTAACACAACCGGACGAATGAACAACCAGAGGAATTCAAACGGGCGAATAAACACCAGACAAAACCGGAAGAATTACAACCGGACGAATTTTAACGGACGGATTAAAACCGGATTAATTCGAAACGGGCGAATTAAAACCAGATGAATTCGAACCCGGCGAATTAAAACCAGGTGAATTCAAACCGGGCGAAAACCAGATGAATTCAATTAGGTGCGCGTGACAAGCGTTTTAAGCAATTGCGTTGCTCAAAGTGTTTTCGCCTTCTTTGGTCAAGTGGTTGATTCGATGTACCAAGCGTGGCTCTAGGTCACCACGAGGGGATCCATCCGCCAGGGGCTACGGCCCTGCAGGATTCGCGTCAAGATTGTGTGTGGGCGGTGTTTCAGGCGATTCGATTTTTGCCCTTCCGCATTTCTCTTCTTCGGCATCTCTGCAGGAGGAGGACGACGACGACGAGCAGGGATGAGGAGGGAGGAGCAGGAGGACGAGCAGGAGGAACGACCAGACGAACAGGCGAGGCGACGACGACGACGACGACCGACGACCCGAAGATCGGCAACGACGATCGAGGAGGCAAAAGTATCGCAGATCACTATCCCGCATCTCTTTGCCTCGTTGTCTCTTTTTGTGTCTCCTGGGAGGCCCTCGTCGCCACGGCTGGATTCTCGCTGAAATCTGGGTCAGAACGCATCCTGGGAGTGGTTCGAGGAAGAGGGAGTAGCGGTATCGGTACCTTTTCGTTTCCCCAGACAGCGACGACGATCGACGAGAAGGGGGGCCGCCCACGCCGTCGCCCCCCTCTTCGCTGCCGTCGCCGTGGTCGTTTCATTTCGGTCTCGTGATGTCGATCGGGAGTTCGACAGTGAGATCGATCGTGAGTCAATCATGAAATCGATCATGATATTGATAGGGACACCGATGGTGAGATCCATAGTGAGATATATGATTGATCGAAACATGGATTGTGAGATCGCTGTGGGCTTGACATTTAGACCGATATTCAAATCGCTAACTTAACCGATTGAGACATGGATTGTCTAATTGATAGTGGGATCGATCGCGATAGCGATCGTGGCACCGATCGTGATATTGGTTGTTACATTGATTGTGAGGAGGACGATAACGACGAGCAGGGAGGAGGAGGGAGGAGGAGGACGAGGAGCCAGGCGAACAGGTGAGGCGACGACGACGACGACCGACGACGACGACGAAGATAGGCGACGACGATTGGATGAGAAAAAAGTATCGCAGACCACTATCCCACCACCCTTGCTTCGTTGTCTCTTTTTTGTGTCTCCTGGGAGGCCCTCGTCGCCACGGCTGAATTCTCGTTAAGATTCGGGTCGTAACGCATCTCGGGAGTGGTCCGGTGAAGAGGGATTGGCGGTATCGATATTTTTTTTTGTTTCCCCAGACAACGACGACGACAATCGACGAGGAGGGGGGCCGCCGCCGCTGTCGCCTCCCTCGTCGCTGCCTTTGCCGTGGTCGTTTAATTCCGGTCTTGTGATGTCGATCGGGGGATCGACAGTGAGAACTAGTGTGAGATCGATCACGGAATCTATGATATGATGAGATCGATGGGGAGACCGATGGTGAGATCCATAGTGAGATGATTGATCGAAGCATGCATTGTGAGATCATTGGTGGGTTGGACGTCATATCGATATTCCGATCGCTACTTACACCGATTACGACATAGATTGTTTGATCCATGGTGGGATCGACTGTGATATCGATCGTGGCATCGATTGTAAGATACATTGTTCTATTGATTATCCGGCCGCTCGTGATATCGATAGTGACATCCATTGTGCAATCCATGTTGGCATCGATAGCGAACTCGATTGTGACATCGGTCGGAAGATCCATGGTGACACCGATGTTCAGGTCCACTGTGAGACCAGTACTGACAGAGGTACTGAAATCGATGGTGATATCGCTGGTGCGATCGGCACTGAGAAGCATTATTCCATCGAGGTGAGAATATTGGTGTGACCGATTGCGACATAGAGAGTGAGATCGATTGTGAGATCCATTCTGGGATCCATAGTGAGACCGATCAAGTATCATCGATAGAGATACAAAGGGACATCGCTAGTCAGAGCGATTGGGAGATCGATTGTCGCAGCGCTAATGCGAGTGATGGTGACATCGATCAAGACGGATGTTCGATTTCCGAATAGATGGTTCGTGCTCTCTTTTTCTTGGTTTCTCGGCTCCTGGGTCGTGGTCTCGTTTTCTCGGACCCAGGTTTGTTTCCTCGTTTTCTCTTTCTCTCGGCCCCTGGGTCGTGGTCTCGTGTTCTCGGACCCTGGCCCGTTTTTTTCTGACCCTGGTTCGTTTTCCTTGACCCTGGTTCGTGTCCTCGTTTTCTCGTGTTCTCGGACCCTGTGTCGTGGTCTCGTTTTCCCGGACCCAGGTTTCTTTCTCGGTTTCTCGTTTTCTCTGCCCCTGGGTCGTGGTCTCAGTCGTTTTCTCGGACCTTGGTTAGTTTCTCGTTTTCTCGGCCCTTGGGTTGTGGTCTCGTTGTCCCGGACCCTGGTTCGTTGTCTCGTTTTCTTGTTTGTTCGGCCCCTGGGTCGTGGCCCCGTTTTCTCTGACCCTGGTTTGTTTTCTCGTTTTCTCGGCCCCTGTGTCGTGGTCTCCTTTTCTGCGGGCCCTGGTTCGTTTTCTCGGTTTCTCGTTTTCTCGGGCCCTGGCTCGTGGTCTCGCTTTCTCGGACCTTGGTATATGTTCTTGTTCCCCACCTGCTTAGTGGGGATCTGGTTTTCTTCCCCACATGCTTAGTGGAGTTCTGGTTTTCTTTCCTGCCTCGTCGCACCCGCGGCCCTCACACACCACCTTCCTCCTCCCTCTCCTCCCTCTCCCATCACAGCGCAGCACAGCGCAGCACAGCACAGCACAGCGCAGAACAGCGCTGCACAGCACAGCTCAGCACAGCACAGCACAGCACAGCTTAGCTCAGCACAGCACAGCTCAGCACAGCACTGCACAGCACAGCAAGCGAACCACAGTGCAGCAGAGTTCAGCACAGCACAGCTCAGCACAGCTCAATACAGCACAGCACACAGCACATTGACACACAGCACGTACACAGCACAGCACAGCACATTTCATCTCAGCACAGCATTGCACAGCACAGCACAGCACCTCAGCACAGCACACCTCGGCACTACACAGCACAGCACAACACAGCACCTCTGGACACCATAGGAGGTGCGCAGCAAGCGGTCTCTCAGCGCGGCCGCTATCCACGACACTCTCGAAAAACCTAGCAGGCGTGGCATTTGTTGGACACCATAGGGAGTGCGCAGGGGGTGGTCTCTCAGCGCGGCCGCTATCCACGACACTGTCGCAAAGCCTAGCAGGCGTGGCACTTTCTGGGCACCATAGGGGGTGCGCAGGGGGTGGTCTCTCAGCGCGGCCGCCAGCCACGACACTGTCGCAAAGCCAAGCAGGCGTGGCACTTTCTGGACACCACAGGGGGTGAGCAGGGGGGTGGTCTCTCAGCGAGGCCGCTATCCACGACACTGTTACACATAGCCAGCAGGCATGGCACTTCTGGGCACCAATTGGGGGGTGCGCGGGGAGTTGGTCTCTCGCGCGCGACGCTATCCACGACACTCCTCGAAAAAACCTTCCCAGAACACAAAACAAGCAGGCGTGGCATTTGTTGGACACCATAGGGAGTGCGCAGGGGGTGGTCTCCCAGCGCGGCCGCTATCCACGACACTGTCGCAAAGCCTAGCAGGCGTGGCACTTTCTGGGCACCATAGGGGGTGCGCAGGGGGTGGTATCTCAGCGCGGCCGCTATCCACGACACTGCCGCAAAGCCTAGCAGGCGTGGCACTTTCTGGGCACCAAACGGGGTACGCAGGGGGTGGTCTCTCAGCGCGGCCGCTATCCGCGACACTGTCACAAAGCCTAGCAGGCATGGCACTTTCTGGGCACCATTGGGGGGTGCGCGGGGGTTGGTCTCTCAGCGCGGCCGCTATCCACGACACTCTCGAAAAACCTAGCAGGCGTGGCATTTGTTGGACACCATAGGGAGTGCGCAGGGGGTGGTCTCTCAGCGCGGCCGCTATCCACGACACTGTCGCAAAGCCTAGCAGGCGTGGCACTTTCTGGACACATAGGGGGTGCGCAGCAAGCGGTCTCTCAGCGCGGCCGCTATCCACGACACTGTCGCAAAGCCTAGCAGGCGTGGCACTTTCTGGGCACCATGGGGAGTGCGCAGGGGGTGGTCTCTCAGCGCGGCCGCTATCCACGACACTGTCGCAAAGCCTAGCAGGCGTGGCACTTTCTGGACACCATAGGGGGTGCGCAGGGGGTGGTATCTCAGCGCACGACACTGCCGCACAGCCTAGCAGGCGTGGCACTTTCTGGACACCAGAAGGGGGTACGCAGGGGGTGGTCTCTCAGCGCGGCCGCTATCCACGACACTCTCGAAAAACCTAGCAGGCGTGGCATTTGTTGGACACCATAGGGAGTGCGCAGGGGGTGGTCTCTCAGCGCAGCCGCTATCCACGACACTGTCGCAAAGCCTAGCAGGCGTTGCACTTTCTGGACACCATAGGGGGTGCGCAGGGGGTGGTCTCTCAGGGCGGCCGCTATCCACGACACGGTCGCAAAGCCTAGCAGGCGTGGCACTTTCTGGGCAC